ATGGGCTAAGCCCACATTAGTGCTACAGTAGCAGAGTCGTGTTTTTGCAACAGACACTGCAGGGTCCACAAAGCGGGAAGCATTGACTTGCTGGCCCCTGACAGAAAAGCCCGCTGACGCCTAAAGAGTACGATTGGTAATCCAACGGCCTTACAATGAAATACTTCTGCACACAGGAAAGTATGACTTAAATGAAAACACGAGCCCCAGAGAACGGCTGTGTAACTCACCAAACTGAGGAAGGAGTCGAAGCCACAATTTCCAAAGCAAACTCCTAAAATCATTAACACAAAGAAACCTGCCGGTGAAGTTCATGAGAAGAAGAAACAACCAAGGAGCCAATAAACACTGAAAACATGTTCAATCTTACCAGAAATAAGAGAAACAGAAGACCAACCCTCATGCAAGTGCACATCCCATGGAGGAAACCAGCAGCTAGGCAAGCCAAGCTTGATTAATGAGCATATTCCCTCGGCCACGGTGATCGGTTCAGCGATGAGCATGTGATCTAAACGTGTCCAGGGAGCCCCTTCCATCCCTTTGGTCAAGGTGATCGCTTCAGGAATGGGCTCCCATACAGAGGTAAGCCTGGAGCTTCCTGGACCAGGATGTGGAGCAAAATAGCCAGAGAATGAAGCCACACGGAGCACAACCAAGTCAAGGAACAGAAGTAGACCAACTCTTATCAATGCCGTAGGAGCATCTGGATCCAGCCATGCCTGCAGCATACTCAGGAACAGTAAGCCCCACAGGGCAGAGAGTACCTCCGTCTTGTCTGCTAGGACACCTCACACCCAGCAGCGTGTCTGGCACGTCACAGCTATTCGGCAAATACCTGCTGAGTGCATGACTGCGTGAATGTGGCCGGTGCACCAACGGAAAGGGGAAGTCCGCAAAGACGTGGCGGAGAGAGGGTCAAGACAGGCCACTCCAGGGGCACCTGGGTGGCTCAGCCGGTTAAGCAGCCAACTCTTCATTTCGGCCCCGGTGATGATCTCACGGTTTGTGAGATCGAGTGCTACGTTGGACTCTGCATTGACGGCTTGGAGCCTGCTTGGGATTCTCTCTCTTCCCCTCTCCCTGCCCCTCCTTTGCCCCCACCTTCTCCTCTCAAAATAAATACATAAACTGGGGGGGAAAAAAAGATCATTCCAGCACACCTGCAGGAGGCTTTATTCAGGACGCACACCCCCCTCCCTGTGGCTTCTCATTTGAGGCTCAGAACCACCCCCACCGCACCCCCCACCCAGGTGAAGAGCTAGGAACTCTCTTCTCCTTTATTTAAAAAAGAAAAAACACGTAACGAGAACACGGGACTCAAGGCTATCACTGATGAGGCTGAGGCCAGGGTGAGTGAAAGGAAACTGAAGGTCGTCAGGCACTCAGGGGGCCACAGACCGAGAAGCCCCCTCAACGATGCCTGCCGTTCGGGAAGCACAGACTCTCCCATTCACGTGAAACGCTGGAGCTAGACGTCCACGGCGGCCTGGGGTCAGTCAGTGCTGGGACTATAGCCCCGGCGCCCGGGAGCCGGACCCCAGCAGCCTGCGGCCCCACTGCGGGGCCAGGAGCCCGGCCCACAGGCACAGGCAGTCGGGGCTCTGCTGAGGCAACGGCCATCAAAGTCCCCGGGTGGTGGCACCAAGTCCCCAGATCATCCCAGGACATGGAGACTGTCCCCACTGCCTCCCTGGCCCACGGTCTGACATTTTTTTCCACTGTACCAGCAGCTCCCCAGAGGGGTACAAGAACCTCCCTGCCTGCCGTGGGTGAGGCCTGGACACCCCACGGCCCGCCCACGGCACCTGCAGCACAGCTGAGGCCAGGCATGGCGACACCCCACGTGGCCGTGGACGTGGCTGTGCCCGTGCCCTCAGGTCCCCCTCACTCAAGAGGCCTCTGGCACAGCATGGTGACTACAGCCGCGACCCCGAAAGGGGCCTTGTGACACCCAGGAGGAAAGGCCTCGGGGCCCCACAGCCGGGCCCAAGCTGCACCTCGGACAACCGCTCACACCCGACACCTGCCGTCTCTCTTGGAAATGCTGGTCCGGACCCCTCTCCTCAGGGGGCTTCTGGGACACCCCCCGGCAGCAGGGGCAGACCTTGGTCTGGGGCCCTGTGTCCACAGGGGTCCCCTCCGCCGGCCCAGGCCTCCTCCCCGTCTGTGATAGCTGGACCCCTCCCGAGGGGCTCATGCATTTGCTTCCTAGGCTTCCCTCCCCGCTCCCTCCCGCACGTATTCCTCCGGCATCTGCCCCACACCAAGCAGGGGGACCAAGCACAGGGGCGGGGGGAGGGGGGGCGGTTTGGCCACACAGGAAGAGGTCTGAGGCCGTGGCTCTGCAGGAAGGCGCGAGCTGACAGGAGCGATCTCCGCTGCCCAGGGCCCCTCACACGAGTAAATTAAGTCTTTGACGCGTGACCCAGATGCAACGAGAAGGGCTTAAGGGGCATCACAGCCTCATTCGATCCGCTGATACGGGCTCACACTGGTGGCTTGCCTCAGCCCACCCCTACCAGGCAACTTGTTAGAATGTTCCGGTCTCGGGTCTGGATGGGGCTCACCAATCTGTATTTTTTTTTTTTAATTTTTTTTCATGTTTATTTACTTTTGACGGAGAGAGAGAGACAGCGTGCGAGCAGGGGAGGGGCAGAGAGAGAGGGAGACACAGAATCCGAACAGGCTCCAGGCTCCGAGCCGTCGGCACAGAGCCCGACGCAGGCCTGAAACCCAAAGACCGAGAGATCGTGACCCGAGCCGAAGTCGGACGCTCAACCAACTGAGCCCCCCAGGCGCCCCATCAATCTGTATTTTAAGAAGCTTCCCCGTGGGGTTCCTTAGCTCCAAGTAGCCACCAGACACCTTGGCGGCGGTCTGTGTCACAGGCACCGTTGGCCACAAGGCTTAGAGATGACGCAGGAAGAGGCCCCAGCTCCCAGAGGTCAGCAGCCCAACCTGCCGAGGGGCAGGTGCTGTGTAACACGCCTTCCTTACGGGATCTCCCAGAAACAGACGATGACCTTGGAAGGTCAGCATCCCACCTTAAAGATGAGAAAATAAGACCCAGACAGGGGTAAGGTCACCCCGGACATCAGTGCAGAGTAGAATTTGAACCCAGGTCTGTGTGTGTGACTCCAAGTGTCTAGGACCCCAGCTTGGGGCTCCTGTGCCCTGCTGAGCCAGTCCCTCCTCTGCCATGGGCCTGGCAGCTGCTATCACCCCATTTTACAGGTGAGAAAACCGAGGCACAGAGAATCCTAGCACCTGGGGTCTGCACATTCCCCGCCCTCCCCCCCGACAACATTCAGTGAGGGATTTCAGCGGAAGATGGGCCCACCGGGGCCCACGCTCCCTGGTGCAGAGTGGAACAAGGGCTGAGCCACCCAAAGAGCCCCGTGCCTCAGGCAGAGGAAAGACCCCCGGAAGAAGAAGTCCAAGTTGACCTTCAGATCAGTGCTTCTTGACCGGGACGATTCTGTCCCCCAGGGGACACTCAATGTCTCGAGGCATTTCTGGTTGTCACAGTTGGGTGGGTGGGAGCAAGATAGGAGTAACCCCTCCCCCCGCACCAGGCGGAAGCCAGTGTTGCTGCTAAACGTCCTAGCCTGCCCAGGACACCCCACCACAAACTCACCCGGCCCCAAATGTCAACGCTACCGAGGCTGGAAGACGCTGAGGGTGCCCCACAGACCAGCAGCACTGGCGTCCCCTGGCTTGTCTAAACACAGAACCCCAGGGCCGCTGCAGACCTGCTTTATCGGAACCTGTACGTTCCCGTGGTCCCTGCAGGTGACCTGGGTGCAGGGGTCAGTGAGCGCCAGTCAAGGGCAAATTGAGGGTGAGGCACGGGGACAGCTGGTCCGCCATCGGGATGCCATCCCTTCCTGCTCTGCAGGACCAGCTTCTGGGGGCTAAAGGGGGAACGGGTAGGCTGAGGGAGTCTGGGACCCTGTCCCTCCAAGCCCAGCCCAGCCCAGGCCATACTCCAGAAGGTGCAGCAGGGAGGTCAGGGAGATGGCAACAGGTGTGTGCCCGAGCCCCATTAATACGTCCTTTCTGACACCCGCACCCAATCCTGGGGCTACGATCCAGAAGGCTCGAAGGGCCTGATTCCCACAAAAGCCCTGTGGTTCATGTTCAGCTGCTCTGGGCCAGCTTCGTGGCAGGGGCCGCCGGTGAGAGTGGGACTGCCCCGTGTGCTCTGGCCCCCGGTTTTTGGGGAGCAACCTAGAAAGTCCTCCAATGCTGGGCCCACCACGCAGTCACAGCCCGTCCCCCTCCTGGTAACAAAGCATCCTGTCCCAGGGCGCATCCCTGGACCCCGGCAGATCCCAGCCACAAAGACCCACAGCTCCACGCTGTCCGGGCCCATCACACAGCCAACCCTAGTGACCGCCCTCGGGGACGCCCGGGGGCTGTAAAGCAGAGGGCGCTCACTCGTGGCTCTGGGTCACAGCCAGACAGCAGATGGGCTCAACTTGGTGCACGTACTGTCCCCCCAATAGATTTCAGCTTTCCTTGAAAAACTTAGGCGATCTGGCAATACGGGATGCACATTCCTGCAGGAAGGTGGCCTGGTGGAGGCGAAAACAGAGCCTCTCCCCCAGGTCCGGGACGCCCACAAGGCATGTCCTGCCCACGCTGTCACAGCCCCTCCCAGCCGTGGCCCCTTCACTCCTTCAGGGGGCTCGCTTGCCCTCTACAGACCGGTGCTCTCTGCTGGGGGTGATGTGCCCCCCCACAGGCAGGTGGAGATGTGTGGGGACAGTTCTGACTGTCACAGGAGGATGTCAGGCGTGAAGACAAGGACGGCCCCCAGGACAAAGGACTGTCCGGTCCCCAGCGTGGACGGTGGCGAGGCAAGAAGTCGCAGTCAGAGCCCCGTCTGGGAGCCCTGAGATGGCGCAGGGCAGGGAAGACAGGGCCTCAGCGGGGTGCGGGGTGCGGGCTGCGAGGGGGGCCCCCGCCTCTGCCTGAGGCGACAAGCCACTACTTACTTGGAGAGTTTCATCTCAATCTGCTGCCGGATTTCCTGTCTCTCTTCGTCAGTCCTCCTGGGGAAAATGTTCCGGTCTTCCAATTCCTGCTTGCTGGGCCGATTCCGTAGCTTCACCGCCAAGAGCTCCTTCTTGCATTTTCTCGGCAGTGTTCCTGAGAGCCCCCGGAGGGACGGGAGGGAAGGGACAAGGACACAGGTATTAGTCGGGTGCTGGCTTGCCGACCTAGCCGCCCCCCCTGCTGCTGGAAGGAATCTGCACCAGGGCAACGGGAATGTGTCTGTCAGCTTGGGGCGCCTTCGGACGGGCAGGGGGGCGACACCGGGAGAGAGTGATGTCACCGCCTGTGGGTCATGCGTTCCACGGGTGGGAGATCGATCACAGAGGACCTCCAGGGGCAGTCCTGCTTGACACCCGTTCCCCCAGGGTGACTATGAATGGCACTCAGGCTTCCTTCTGAGTCTGGGCCATAACCTACAGTTACTTCCCATGGCGGTCCCCTCCCCTCCCCTTTCCCCTCAGGGTCCACTCTCCCCGCTTCCCGCTTCCCCAGTCCCGAGAGCAGCCCACCCCGGGGCCGTCGGAGCAGGTCTGCCCCCCACAGGCCACCAGGCTCTGCTGGACCGTCCACAGCCGGCCCTGTCCCCACAGCCAGCCTCCGTCCTTCTCAAAGGGGCCCGCGGGGACTCCAATCACCATGACACCACACCGTGAACTCCCCCTGGATCTGAGCTCTTCCCCGTCCATCAATTTATCGTCTCCTTCACCAGACTTTGAGGTCAACAGCAGTGTGCCCTCCGCGGGCCCGGAACAGCGCTGACGCAGCATGTTACCAGCGAACACGGAGCGAAGGAAAGGGTGGGCTGACTCCGGGTCCCCAGGCTGAGGCTGATCTTTATTTCCACACACGCCCGGGATCAGCCAACATCCGGGTGCGAGTAAGATCTTAGAGGATGGGATGTCTAAATTAAGAGAAGTGGGCTTGGCGGTGTTCACAGGCAGAGAAGGATGGTATGCTAGGAAACGGTGATGTGCGGAGTCGGTGAGTTTCTGAATGAGACACCCCCCTGCCCCCCGCCCCTGGCAGGTAACTGCAGGTGGCGGTTCTGCAGCTTTACCAGGACATGGATTTCAATCCGGGGGTTCAGACCATCCCCCAACACCCCCTGGGTGGAGGCAAAGAAAAATGGCTCCCCGAGAAAACCGACGCCTAGCGTCAAAGACGGGGGTGCAAAGCCAGAAATGAGTCTCAGAACGTGACATTTCACAGAAGTTGGGGACAAAGGAAGACACAAAACTTGGGGGCTCCGCTGAGGTTTGAATTTCTAATATGAGCTTGTTTGCTATGCTTTATAGAGAAAGAGGAACATAATGACTCCCCAAACCATTCCAGCAAGGGCTCTAGCCTGAATTTGTTTTAATAGCTTTATAAATGGCTAGAGTCCTACGTTTATAGGATCACAAAGAGCCTGAAGGAGTCACGTGCATTTTTCGGTTAGTCTTCACTGTGTGTTCCGGGGGAAACTGACAGCTTTGGTGGCATTCACGAATTAAGGGCATCTCAAAGGTCTCGGGACAAATCCTTCATGAATGTCAAGGGTCTAATACGCAGCAAGAAGGGATTGCCATTTTCAGAGACCCAGAGTATGCTCAACTATGAAACCACACTGAGTGTGGTTTAATCTTTTAAGCTTTTGATAACGAAAGTCTTTTTAAGCCCATGGCAAATGTCTTGGGCTTATTACAAACTTTAATCGTATTTGTTCTTAACTGAGAAAAAGAACCTTCGTCAGAGATTTCCAGATGGAAATGAGAATTCGCTCCACATAAAGTCCCGGTGCCGGGAACAAGCAAGCCGTTCTCCTAGCCTCTCTGGGCACGGCACGGGCACACAGTAGGGCCACAACAAAAACTTAGAGCCTGGTATCAGGTCTTGTCTAGCGTGTCAGGAGGTTACTAGGTTTTGTTACTGAGAAGTCAACAAAGGAAATTTCCAAATAGCTTACAAATGAGGCTTTCCACGAATCCGGCCAGCACTCCCACCCAACCTTCAATTGGGTCAATTTGGGTTTTTTGTTGTGGTTTTAATGCTCATTTACTTATTTGCTTTTAGTATTTTTTTATTATTTATTTTGCAAAAGATACGGAGAGCAAGTGGGAGAAGGGCAAAGAGAGAAGGAGACAGAATCCCAAGCAGGCTCCGAGCTGTCAGCACAGAGCCCGACACGGGGCTTCAACCCACAAACTGTGAGATCATGACCTGAGCCAGAGTCGGACGCTTAACCAACTGGGCCACCCAGGCGCCCCTAATGTTTATTTATTTTGAGAGAGAGACAAAGACACAAAGAACACAAGCAGGGGAGGGGCAAAGAGAGAGGGAGAGAGAGAATCCCAAGCAGGCTCCACCCTGTCAGCGCAGAGCCCCACGTGGGGCTCGATCCCACCAACCGTGAGATCGTGACCTGAGGTGAAATCAAGAATCAGACACTCAACTGACTGGGCCACCCAGGCGCCCCCAGAATCACTCTGAATGAGCACACATCCCAGAGCGGTCTGACTCGGAGAAGATGTGAGGCTGAGGATCCGAGGTCAGGAAACCTTTCTGTCCCGACCGTGGGAGGCAAGCAGTCCTCCCTCCCCAGATGCCCCCAGACGCACCGGTTTCCCTGTTTTGACACAGAAAAGTGGGCCAAGCACAGAAAACCAGATACAAGGGTGCTCGTCTAGCGTCACTTATGAAAGCAAGAAATTAAATAAACCAAGATGCCCAGGATGACACCTGTCAGATGATGGCACATCGTATGTACCATGAGCCACTGCAGACCCATCGACAATGGTGGCCTGTAGGTCACTGAGTGTCAGAAAGACATTCACAGGATGCTGCTGACGACAGCAGGGTGTATGGATGTGTGTGTGCCATCCCCAGAAACCTGTCTGTAGATGTGTAGGTGCCGAAAGTTTAAGTACATATGACATTATAATTGGCATAGAGAGGTCAAGAATTCCTCATTTTCTGTACTAATTTTGCTTTTTGGTATTGTGTTTTTTTTAAATCATAATTTCCTTAAATGAAAATGGATAATTATTTAAAGAGAAAGAACACTGTTGAGCAACATCAGGATAGATGGTAGAGAAACTGTCTCCTCCATAAAAGCAACAACTGGAAAAAATGGTCAGGGTCACCTTTTCCAGAACTCT